CACTTGTTCCCTCTTCTGGTCTGCCTTGTTGCTAACAACATAAAACCTAAGTTTGGGTAGTTTATAAAAATGAGTTTTATTTGGTTCACAGTTTGGAGGCTCACAGTCCAGGAGCAACGTCTTCTGGGGATCCTGCAGAGTTCTGAGACCTCTCATCACGTGTACAGGAGAAGAGAATAATGGTTGTGTCCATCCATCTGTCGCTCTCTCCCTCTCTCCCTCCCTCCTTATAAACTCACCAAGTATCAATCATAGGGGCCTCACACCAATCATTGAAACATACCCAAAGGCTCCATCTTTCAACACCATGGAGGTATCAAATTTCTTCACAATACCTTCATGAGAGAACCAAATCCTAACACATGATTTCTTGGAGGACACCCAAACCATAGTATTTCCTTTAGTCTCTTTCCAACCCAGCAACCACAGCCATCTTTTAAAAATTAGGCAGCCCTTTGCTCAAATTCTCAATGTATCCTCATTTTGCTTAAAGCAAAAGCTAAAATCTGTGCCTCTCCTTATGGGACCGAGGAGGCCTGACGTGACTTGCTTGCACACGTCTCCAGCTCTCCCTTCCTACTCATCTCCCTGCCCGCCCACGCCGCCACCCACATCATCCTTGCTTCCTCGCTCCTTCAACTGGCAAGCAGGATCCACCCACTGTGCCCTTGCACTGGCTTTTCTCTTGCCAGAAATCTTGGTATTGTTTCTTCTTCTTTACATGTATTTTTTTTTAATGTAAGCTTAAAAAATTCCCAACCTAAGCGCCTTATTTGAAGTGCAACCCAGGCAAGCCCCATGGTGCAACAGTAACATCATGCTGCTCAAGAAAAGCCAGATTCCAGGTGGCCACTGCTCTTAGAATCCCTGCCCTGGAGAGCCTGACACATGCCTGGCACATGCACCAGCGCTCAGGATCCAGTAACCTGGAGGAACGGAGGAAGGGGGTTTCTCTATGCCAGCCGCTATAGGGCGTGCTCTTCTCTCTCTCACATGTATGCTCATGTGCTCTACCATGAATAAAGAAAAAAAATAAAGTGTAACTCACCCCACCACAAACATCCCTTATCTTCTCCGCCATTCCCGTTGTCTTAATGATAATTATCAGATTCCAAATGGTTATATATTATTATCGATTGCTGTAATATTTTATAATATTCTTCCCCTTGCTAGGTATCTACCTCTACCTATTTTGTTTGTCCTTGTATCTCACTGGCATAGAATGGAGCTCATTAAGTAAGTGAATATTGGGGCCAGCAGATGGCATAGTGGTTAAAGCTCTGGACTCCTACATTGTTGACTACAGTTCAAGTCCTGGACCCAGAATCTTGAACCTCAAGCTAGGTGCACGTGGGTGTGTGCCCAAAATCTTGAGAAGAATGGAGGAGAAGGGATTATAGTGTGGTCATCCTCCCTGGAGGAAGGGGGCTCTCACTTTCTCTGTCTCTTATCTCTGTGTTTCCAGTGAGTGCATGTACTCTATAGCAAAAAATCTCTCTATTAAGAAAAAAAAAAAGTGAGTGAATGTTTTCCCTGGACAGTTAGCCTCTTGGAGAGCAGGTTGGGCAGGTACTCAACAGGTACTTACAGGATTGTAACATTATTTGGGTAAATAAAGCATCAGCCAACAGACTTTTATAGCTAGCCTCAACCCTGCCCCATAGCTAGCCCCCACCCTACCCCATAGTTAGCTCCCACCCTACCCCATAGTTAGCTCCCACCCTGCCCCATAGCTAGCCCCCACCTTACCCCAAAGCTAACCCCCACCCTACCCCATAGCTACCCCTACCCTATCCCAAACCACCAGCGCTTGTTTCTTAGAGTCTGCCTGCATTGGGGGTCATAGAATGCCAGGATTTGCAGTAGAACCCTTACTAATTTTAACTGTACTAGCTACTGACTGAGCCATGTGGGTTCAAGTTTGTCTTTTTACATGTCAGTTTCCTCATCTGTGAAGTGGAGGGTCTATTAATTGGGTCTTCCTTACAAAGGGGTTATGAGAGATAAACGAGATGACGCATGTAAAATGCTGAGCACTCAATAGACCGCTTGTAGGTGCATGTAATTATAAAGGAGTTAAAAACAGTGCATTCAGGGTATCGTGTCTTTCTCCATATTTCTTGTTTTACTGTTTGAACTTGCTTAGTAAACTTTCTTTATGTAGGTAGCACAAAGATAAACCTCACCCAAGCTCAGATCTGAAAATATCAAGTACCCCGAAATACTAGTACTGGAATTATTTTATCATATTGGGAACTCCATGAATCCACATTCTAATTCACATCCAAGTGGAAGTATAAAAATAATAAGTAATTAGACATAAATAAATTTGAATGATCTATTTTGCTTTTTCAACTACTTATTATCAAGATATGATTCACTTACTGTATCTCTAACTCAAAGGTATTTTCTCAAAATATTAAAAATGAATAGTGAACTTTTTATAATTTCACATTTTTAAAAGAACTTTTTATTTTATTTATCATTATTATTTATTTATTAAAATTTGCTACAGAACATGTATCCTTACCAGAGAGAGATGTAAAATGAGAAAGCAAGCTGCCAGGTCTGGGACTTGAACTGCATTCAACCATGTGGGAGTCCAGGACCATAACTGCCATGCCACCTGCTGGCTCCCTATGGTTTCACATTTTAAACAAGAATTTTTTATTTGACATTTCTAATTTTAGCAGTTTTTCCCTTGGCTGGGCCATCTAGACCATCCCAGTTTAATTTTTAAAATGTGGTATTTTCAATTAGCTTTAATTTTTGAACTACACATCTGAATTAAACAGTGGTACTAGACTTTAATCACGGTTGGAACAAGTATTTGCATAATTGATTAGCAACTCTTAATATTGTGCCTATTTCTTCAAGAAAATCCTTTCATTAAACGTGGGGTTTTAAACTAATTGGAAATTGCCCTTTTTGCTATATAAATCTGGCTTTCAATTTTTGAGCCCATTACCTTAATGTTCAATGCCATTTCCCATTTTGAACATTCATTTTTTTATGTGGACATTTGAAATGATCCACGACATTACCAAGAAAATGACCAGTGAGCCGTACACCTGCTCAGCTTACTGCTGGTACAATGTATTTGTTACTTTGGAAGAGGGGACATGACTGTGGGTGTTGCAGTTCTCTGAGTGTCAGGACTTATTGTCCTATACGTCACTTGTTTAAAGTCTGCATTCCAGCTGTTAGTAAGTGTGAAATGAAAGCCACTGTGTTTTAAAAAATTGGTTAAAGTGCTGGACACTCCCACATGGCCGACCATGGTTTGAGTCCCAGACCGGCGGCTTGCTTTCTCACTTTCTCTCTCTCTCTCTCCCTCTCTCTCTCTCTCTTTCTGTCTCTCTCTGGTCAAAATAAAATAAATGAATGAATAAATAAAATAAAATAAAAATATAGTGCAGGAATCTGAGCTTTGCATGGAATCAGGTCAGAAGCCAGAGAAAGGTGCAGAAGAGCTAAGCCTTTATTTCACTTTCCTGACTCATCTAGGACGGCAGTCCCCTGAGGGAGATGACTGACCCACAGCTGCTTCCCGGCATGTGGAACAGCATGGAAAACACCCAAGAACAGCCTCTGCAAACTGGCTTCCCTGAACAGGAGACATGCTGTATCTCTCTCCCAAGCCTGTATGTAAACCCAAACCAAGAATTTAACAAAATATGTTGAGCAAGGATGAATTCAACCCGAATTTGAGCTTTTCGCTGTTTATACCTGTAGAGGATTTTAAATGTGTTTGTAGTCAAACCCTTGTCTACAAAACATCTTTCTACACCTGTTAAACAGAGACAGAACTGGGACGTGGGAGAGCGGGCCTCCATGCATGCCTTCCGCTGGCTAGAAAGTTAAGGGGTCTCTTCCTCATTACGAGGCTCCAGGTAAGCACCGAAACAGATTTCGGGTCCCCTCCAGAGCACATTGATTTCCACCTCCGCCCCTCGGGAAGGAGCCTGATGGTACAGACTATCTTTCTTTGGTTTTTAGTGGGATTTAAAACTCTCCTCGAATGTTTTAAAACCTTGTAAGAGGGTACATTGGAGCAGCTTGTGAGAACATAGTGAAGCTTAGTTAGTTATCTTTTATAAACACTTTAAAGATCTTTGGATCAAAGGTGTAATCTGTGAAAAAACATTTTTAGTTGCTAAAATAAAGCATGTGTTCACAGGTGGATTTTCTTTATTTTTATTTTAGGTCTTAAGTACTCTTTGTGGTGAAGAAGGAGAAAGGCAAAAGATAGTTGTAGAGATGTTTCCTTCCTGGAAAGCAAGCCTTGAGGGTGGGAGCAGCTTCCAGAAATGGATGCGATAAGGCAGGAGCACCAGGCCTTGGAGTAATCAGTCACTGAATAGGTGACTGAGAGGTGTGGTGGCCGGCACTGAGCTCCCAGGCCCTTGTACCTGGGATCTGGCTTATGTCATGGAGGACATAGCTTTGCAGGTGTGGATGGCAGGAAACTCAGCTGTGATTTCTCCACTTGGGGGCGTGGCATAATTTGGGCTCCAGGGCAGTTTCCTCAGTGCTGTGTAGGGAGCAGCCATGCACCTAAGGTCTCCTAATATGAGGATCGTTTTCAGCTTTTACCCAAATTAGTACGTTATTCTTTCTGGCACAACTGTCGGATTGTAATTGCTTCCCTCATGATAGCACAGGTAGACTTGTACCGCATGGGGAAGAACTAAAACTAAAACCTTAGGAGATAGAATCTCAGTTCGCAGAGAGAGAAAAACACCACCGCGGCAGAAAGCGAGAGAGAAGCCAAGCCAACCCACGGTCTGTTGGTGAAGGGAGCCGATCCCGCCTGCTTGCTCATGCACCTGGCTTAGATGCTAGAGCCAGGGGCTTGCAAAATTCTCCAGGGGCATGTGTGTGGGTGCCCCAAATCCTGACAGCATGGAGAAAGGGAGGGGAAGAGATCGAGGCACGATGGCTCTCCTTTGCGGGTGATGCTTTCTCCCTCTCCCTCTCTGTCTGTCTGTCTGTCTGTCTCCCTCTCTCTGGAGTGCACACATCCTCTGAATAATTTTTTAAAACTAAAGAGAAAAAAAAAAAAGAAAGCAAGATAAAAAGGTATCTCCTGGCAAAAGTTGGCCTATTTGTGCAGCCAAAGTGGCCTGATGTCAGGGTTTCAGACCACGACTTCGGAAACAGCCAGGCTTAGGTCTTCATTGGAACTTGCGGTGCCAGGCAGGAGCCCAAGTCTGCATTTCCTCATGTACAGATCGGAAGTAACGAGAAGGTAGTAAACTAACTCCTTCCATTGCCGTAGGGGTAAGCAGGGTAACGCAGATAAGAGTCGCTGCAGTGCTTACTGGAATTCGGGCATGTCCATGCGCTAGAGGTTGCTGCTGCTCTCACTTCCCCAAAAATCATTAATAAAGGTGGTAGTTGGAGTCAATTTTGAACAAGTGCATGTGTAGCACTTGAGAGGAAAAAAAAAAGACTTAATAGCTATGTCAGGAAACAATATGTAAATATCAATCAAAGAGAAAGAAATGTATAGTAAACAAAGTCCCAACAAGGTCACCAGACCCATGAGACCCATGAGTTAGGGAGCCTGATCCCACATAGCCATCTGTGGCTCAAATCCCAGCTCTAATGGCTTCAAAAACATGTGTAGCACTTGAGAGGAAAAAAAAAAGACTTAATAGCTATGTCAGGAAACAATATGTAAATATCAATCAAAGAGAAAGAAATGTATAGTAAACAAAGTCCCAACAAGGTCACCAGACCCATGAGACCCATGAGTTAGGGAGCCTGATCCCACATAGCCATCTGTGGCTCAAATCCCAGCTCTAATGGCTTGAAAAACACTCCCCAGGCACACGAGTGTGCATACCCCAAGCCCCAACAGGGTGGAGAAATGGAAGAGAAGGGATTGTGGTATGAACACACCCCACTGGGGGGGGTGCTTTCTCTCTCTCCTCTCTCTGTCTCTGTCTGGTGAGGAAATGAGTCCTCTGGCAAGTTAAAAAAATGAAGTCTCAACTGATTTAGGATAAAAACAGCATGGACTGAACTAGAGACAGGATGAAAGTTTGTCGCACTTTTCCTCAAAATTAATACAAGAATCATCCTTATTTTGCCTACATTTATGACAAAATTGACTCTAGAATGAACTACAGATTGTTCTCACTTTACAGAGTATGTTCATTTATTTTCAGCCCTTATTTTTCATCTGCCCTGAATTACTTCTCCAGGCCTGGGAGATCTGTTCGTCTTTTCTTCCTGTGTTTTTATTGCAGTCTAGATTTGGTGCCCAGAGAGAGAAAGAGCTAGAAAGTAACCCTCCATTAGAGGAATTTAGTTTTCCCATGCCTCTTTCTACCCGTCTGTGCAAGAGCTACGTATGCACACATTTAAATCTACTGGACTTACCGTGCCACATTCTCTCAATATGGCTGAGCATTTAAAAACTTCTCACGAGTTTTCGCTCAGTATCATAGGTCTCAAAAAAAGCAGAAGAAAAACACCTCTCCGTTCAGCTCTCATCTTTCCGACCAGAGGACCTGGAGGAAGGCAAGCTGGATTTGTTCCTCTCTTATCACTTACTTTTTGGCTCTAGAGACCCTTTCAAGGGAGGCAATGTTCTTGGATCGGTCAGGTTGTATGGGGAAAGAAGAAGCCATCTAGGTATATTTAGTGGAAAGAAAATTATTACAAGGAATTCCAGGCTTAGGCAACTATTGGAAGGCTACAAGAGCACAGACTGGAAACGCCTCTTACAGGAAATCCAAAAGTTGAAGGATTTCCTGGCAGCCCCCAGCAGTGACTCTGGGTGCCAGCAGAGATGAAAGAGGAAGCCGGAGAATGTCCATAACACGGTGAGCCAGGCCCCATGCTGCACTCCTCCAGACCTCGTCTTCATCCTCCCGTTCCTTGCCTTCCACCCCCGGAGGCTGAGCGTGTGGACTGCACTACTAATCCTCCTCGTTCCCTTACTCCCAGAGGGGAGGATTCAGGGAAATCGGATGTGGGAGTAGAGTGAGGTTAGAACAACCGTTCTCCCGTCTCCCTTCCTTCGAGTTTGCTCCAGGAAGGCTGAGCGTCTCAACGGCAGGTCTCCCTCCTGGCTGACACATAGTGACGGTCCATATTTCTGAATGCAGAGTGATGTTTCAGTGCAAGAGCACCATGTGTAATGGTCGTATCAGCATAGTTAGTGTATCCATCATCTCAAATGTTTGTCACCACGCTGGGGACATTCCGAATCCTCTCTTTGTTTTTTTTTTTTTTGAGAGGTTTTCACTATAGGGCGCGTGTGCTTGCCAGACAGACAGAGAGAGACATAGAGACAGAAAGCGAGAAATCACCCCCCAGGGAGGATGCTCATGCCGCAATCCCTTCTCCTCCATTCTCCTCTCGGGATCTTGGGCATGCACGCACACGCGCCCGGCGTGAGTTTTAAGCCACCGGGTCCAGGACGTGAACTGCGGTCGACTACATGGGAGTCCAGCAACATAGCCATTATGCTAACTGCTGGTTCCCCCAAATCCTCTCTTATAGCTACTCTGAGATGTGGAATAAATCACCAGCTATCATCACCCCACTGCACTATGTAACACTACAGCTCGTTCTACCACTGACAACGCTGGCTTTGAAAACAGACATCGCTCCGTCCACCTCCCCCAGCTAGCAGTCACCACGCTACTCTCACTTCTAGAAGGTTCTCTATTTCAGTGTGCACACCTGAGAAGGAAGTTGGCAGCCACCTTCAAGTCAGCCCCCTCCTCTCTCAGTGTCCTCCTTCCAGGTTTTGGTCACTGTTCCTTTACTAACCTGGCTACCTGCACTGTCCCTTGGAGTTCCAGTACATCCTGAAATGTCTTCACAATATTTTCAGGAAATAAGCACTTCTTGTATTGCTCTAGCCTGAGTGTGGCCCTATTTCCTGCTGTGAACCTGACTGATACAATAATTTGTACTATTAGCTTTCCCCAGAAAAGCATCTAAAGATGGGTGTCCGGAATTGGGTGCTTTCTATTTAAAGGAGCTTGGGATAACTTCTTTAGTAGGATGAGAGGGACATGTTCTAATCCACTGCATGTGTTAGAATTACCTTCTTGGAGCCAGAGGTGATGTGGTGGTTAAGGCACTGGACTCCCAGTTTGTTGACCACAGTGCAAGTCTCAGACCTGGTGGCTTGGTTTCTCACTTGGCTGTCTCTCTCTCTCTCTGGTGAGCACACAAGACCTATAACAAATTCAAAAAATAATAATTATAATAATAATTAAAATTAAATAAATAATTATTTTTTAAAAAGAGAATTGCCTTCTTAGATTACCAAGCTTGATTGCATAAGACAAGGTATAGGTGAGGGGCAAGACATAGATGAATTGACTGAGGGATTAAACTATATTGTAAATAATGAGCTTGGAAGGACTGTGGAGCCACTTGCTTTGTTCTGTGGGCCTCAGAGAGCATAAGCTGAAATCAAGAGCCATATGCTGATACATCTAGAAAAGAACACGTGGGAGATTGGAAGGTTCCATTCCAATCTCAGCTTTGCAGACTCCTCTCCTCTCCTGAGGTCGTGTATCTGGAATGGAGACTCGGAGGACTGCTGAAATGCGTCTCCAATTTATATCAACTAGACCTCATTCTAAAGCAAGGACACTAAAAAAAAATAAAACAAAACAAAGAAAAAAAAAAAAAACAAAACAACAACAACAACAAACTAATGATGTGGGACCTTGAGATATGGGTTGGGGACATTTGGGAAAAAGCAAACTGAGGTTGAGGTCTTTGATCTCTGACTTCCTCTGAAACTCCTTCACTGGGAAGGCATCCGCCTCCTTCCGTCAGGGCCCTCTGCATGGCAGCCTTCTTTATCACACTGCCGGCAGCTGCTCCAGGAGCCGTTGCTGGTTCTCTCCCATGGCATGGGGGCTAAAATGGTCAGAAGGATGAAGCAGAAGTCTTGCAACTGTTTCTTCAAGCCAAGATCATAAACCAAGACCAGGACCTTATCCTTCGAGTTGCAAAGACAGAAGTCGCCCTCTCATACCGGAGCAAGATCATGGCGGTGATTTCTACCTTGTCCTTATTTAAACTTACCCATTTGGCTAGTGCCAAAGCCAGATGGGTTGTGGAAAATGACAGCTAATTATCCCAGGCCGATGCCAATTGCAGCTGTAGTTCCAGATGTGCTATTTATACTAGAGCAGATAAACACAGCTTCTTGTAGCTATTGATCTGCAATTCTTTCCCTCCCATTTCAATCAGTGGGGAAGATCAAAAGCCCTCTGCATTCCCTGGCAGGACCACAGTACACGTGATCGTGTTGACCTCCTACTCCAGAGGGAGCTACGTTGCCAAGACATCTTCATCTTGACCAAGCAACGGCAGCAGTGGGAAAACCTGTGAGTTCGTTAGCCAGTTGAGTCTTAGGGTGCCCACTAAGCTTAAGGACGTCCAATGCGATAAAACCTCTTCTATTGACAAGAATACCCTTGGCACCTTTCAGCTAGTTGCCAGACTAGGAAGCAGCGTTTTTCCCATTCACATGTACCTGTCCATTGGGGCAATGGACAATGTCCTAAAGCCAGCCACTTTCCTTCACTGGAAAAAAACTTCATGATTATTTAACCGCTCTCAAGTAACTACCCCTGCCTCACATACACCTCTTAGACAGAGACTCCTTTATATAATCCTGTTTTTAATTTCCAGAGGGAACATGTGCTTGCCAGAGAGAGAGAGAACCTCCCCCCATGGGGCATGATCACAATGCAATCCTCCTTCTTTTATTTCTCCATCTGGATTTTAGGATTTGGGGCATGCACACACGCGTGCCTAGTGTGTTTTACAAGCTACCAGGGCTGGGATTCAAACCGCAGTTGGCCACATGGGATCTGTCTCTCCACGCACAGTGCTCATGTGCTGCGGCTGTGCTCCGGGACCAGCCCTATAATCCTAATTTACCTAACGTTTGTAGGTTGTTCACTCTTCGGAGAAAACTAAAACTTGCCAAGGAGGTTATGTAATCCCAGAATAAATTTATCCTTAAAAATTTAAGCTTTTTACATCATTAAGCCATTTCAGAGGGTTAAACTCATTGTTACTGCTCAAACCCATCATCTGAGAGAAGATGAATGACTAAATGTTTATATTGATTGATAGGACATCTATCATTTCAGATTAGCCCATGACTTTGAAATTCTTGGATTAAAAAGATACCCTGGCCATTCCAGGGACCTTCTATAAATGGATGACAAATGAAAGGAAGTTGAAGTTTTTTGCTATTGCCTGAGGAGACCGCTGTTATAGAAGAGCTTCCCCAAATACCTCATCATATTAAATACGATAGCAGAATTCAGTCTGCCACAATACTGAACCAAATCTGCAGAGTTTTTAAGGGTACCACTGAGGATGTCTTCAATGCATGTTTTATCTGCCAATAATGCAGCCTTGGGAAGCCCATGTAGTCAGGACGTGGACAGGAACCACACCCAGATCCCTGTGAAAACTTCCCAGTGAATTATGAGTAAGTCGTAATCATTGTTTTTATTCTTTAAGCTGTTTGAGGCTTTTTTTGAAAGGAAGATAGAGCTGTAATGGTTGAGGAGAAATGTGATTTCATACTCTCAACTTCAGGAATTCTAATTTTTCTCTCCCATAAAAGAACATACATTTCCCCATTACTGTGTTTTAAAAACTCTGTCAGTGATAATTATGTAGAATGTCCACTATTCTTATCACCCCAAATGTTTGCAAAGATAGAGAACCAAAGAGAATTCTAAAACTATGATTAACGACGTTCCCTAAAAGCTCAAACTATAAGGCCAAAGTATTGCCAATGGCCTTGCTGACAATAAGAGCAAGACTTAGGGCAGCAGATGGCATAGTGGTTAAGGCATTGGACTTCCACATGGTCGACCACTGTTCAAGTCCCATACCTGGTGGTTTGAAACTTAAGCCAAGTATGTGTGTGTGTGTGTGCCCGAAAGCCCAAGAAGAGAATGAAAAAGAAGGGGTTGCAATGCAGCTGTCCCCCATAGCGGGGGGTGATTTCCTACTTTCTGTCTCTCTCCAGCAGGAACCACACCCAGATCCCTGTGAAAACTTCCCAGTGAATTATGAGTAAGTCGTAATCATTGTTTTTATTCTTTAAGCTGTTTGAGGCTTTTTTTGAAAGGAAGATAGAGCTGTAATGGTTGAGGAGAAATGTGATTTCATACTCTCAACTTCAGGAATTCTAATTTTTCTCTCCCATAAAAGAACATACATTTCCCCATTACTGTGTTTTAAAAACTCTGTCAGTGATAATTATGTAGAATGTCCACTATTCTTATCACCCCAAATGTTTGCAAAGATAGAGAACCAAAGAGAATTCTAAAACTATGATTAACGACGTTCCCTAAAAGCTCAAACTATAAGGCCAAAGTATTGCCAATGGCCTTGCTGACAATAAGAGCAAGACTTAGGGCAGCAGATGGCATAGTGGTTAAGGCATTGGACTTCCACATGGTCGACCACTGTTCAAGTCCCATACCTGGTGGTTTGAAACTTAAGCCAAGTATGTGTGTGTGTGTGTGCCCGAAAGCCCAAGAAGAGAATGAAAAAGAAGGGGTTGCAATGCAGCTGTCCCCCATAGCGGGGGGTGATTTCCTACTTTCTGTCTCTCTCCAG